AGTGGGCCTGGGAAGAAACTTCCCTTGTGTGCTGGATAATCTGTAAAGGGGCTTTCCAAAAGCGCTTGGTGCTGGCCTAACTACTGTGGTTGAAGTCAAGGGTAAAACTCCAGTATTAGCAGTTAGACTAACGCTGCGAACATCTGGAAACCCCAAGAAGAGGGAGGGATGGGCCAGTGGCTAGGATACTAGTCTAGGACAATTCCCTGCTCCACGGCAGACATCCTGCTTTGAGCAGGGTGTTGGACTAGATACCTCCTGAGGTCCCTTCCAACCCTGATAGTCTATGATCCTGTATGACCGCGGGCAAGTCACTTAGTCTCTCTGTGCCTCAGTTTCCCATCTGTACCATGGAGATAATAGCACTGCCCTGCCTCACACAGGTGAGCTACGGATAAACCCATTGGGAATCCCAGCCTCACTGCCCACTGGGATCTTTGCACCTGCGTCTGAAGCAGCTGGTGCTGGCCTCTGACAGAGAGAGGGTACAGGCTGGCTGGACCCCGGTCTGACCCGGGGTGGGGATTCTGATGTCCCTGTGATTTGAGAGCGTACAAGCGTGGATCTGCTCAGAGAGTGGGAGGGAAAACTCAAGCCAGGGTCTCCGGAGGTATCAAAGAGCCAGCTCGTTAGCTGTGTGTATAGGTGTCTCCGAGACGTTTGTTTGGTCCCCCCAGCACATCACAAGCTAAGGAGCAAGTGCCCGTGAAGCCATGGAGGAGTGCAGGCGTCTGTACCCTAATGTATTCCGCCTCAGCCGCCCTGGGACATATTGCAGCTTGTGGCTGTGGCACTCGGAGCTTTAGAGAAACGGCCGCCGAGGCGCTGGGGTGTGTCTGGCTGTCCGACTCCCAAGGGAATAGCTACGAGGGTGGGGGGCGCACCATGGCTTAGGAGGGGGAGGGCTCTAGGAGGTGATGAGCTGCATCACACCCCATTCAGGAGATGGTTGGTTTTTTGCCCTTCTGGCCCGGTTGTGGAAGCTGTGGCCAAGCTAAGGGAAGTGGTGAAGAGGAGAATGAATACACAATCCACCCACGGCCCATGCACTGGCAGAAAATGCAGACCAGGGTCCTCATCCTGCTGTTCTCCTGCACCCCAAGTCCTTGCTCCGGGTCCCCCTTTTCCCCACTCCCAGAGAGCTTTGTGTGAAATCAAGTCCAGCTTGCTACGTCCCAGCACGGGCTGTGGGCTCGCTCTTCCCCGCTTCACAACGCGTGTGTGACGAACTGGGACTGTTCTTAATGTGGTCTGTGAATGCTGAGTGGGGAGTGTTGGCTGGGAAGGCAGGGGAGTGTGGCTAGGACGGTCTGCATTGGGAGATGGGAGACTGGCCTTGAGGGAGAATACCTGAGCATGTAACGTGAGAACCCAGGAAGGGATTAGAGGCCAGGTGACACCTTTGCCCGGGAAACTAAACAAAGGCTGGGGAGGGAGTTTCAGGAGCTGGCTGGTGGAATGGCTGGCAGGCAGACGGGGCTCTGATCCCCCCCCCCCAGGGGGCTGTGGTGCCCTGGGACCCCAAGATGCACCTAATTGGGGGGGGGGTCCTGTTGTCTGTGCCTGCAAGACCTGTCTTGGACTATATTCCTGTCTTCTAAATAAACCTTCTGCTTTACTGGCTGGCTGAGAGTCATGGTGAATCGCAGGAAGCCGGGGGTGCAGGGCCTTGTGTCCCCCCACACTCCGTGACAACTGGTGGCAGTGGTGGGATCTACTGCACCCCGTGGACGGCGCTTCCTGCAGTAAGTGACTGGGGAGCAGTAAAACGAAGGGGGATCGACGGGGACCAGGTGCGCTGAAGAGTCAGAGAGAGACGGTTCAGGGGCCGATTAACCCCTGGGAGTGTGTGACCAGTGAGAAGGACTTTTGCAGTAACAGGGTCCCCCGGGGGATCGCAGCGAGCGGTCCTGGGGCGGAGGAGTCTGCAGCTCGACCCTGGCAGAGAGGTGGTGACCTGAAGAGGGGCTGGCACAGTAGGGGTCCCCCTGGAACGGTGGAAAGCGGAGAGCACAGGCCGGCGAGTGGCCAGCCGGAGGACGTATGCTAAACGCCTTAAGAGCGACCTGGTGGAGCTGTGCAGGCAGAGGGGGCTGCGCATTGGGAGGTCCACCAAAGAACAGCTCATTGCCCGGCTGGAGGAGAGGGATCGCTTGGATGAACCGAGCCCTGTCCCTGAGGGAAGCCGCCCGGCGGACGCAGCGTGGGCCCCGGGGCCTGACATGGCTGGGAGGGGTCAGACTGCTTCCGAGGACATCCCGAGACCCTGCCTACCTATGCCTCGGGGAGGGGTTGGGGGAAGCCCAGCGAATACCGAGGGCGCCCTGACCCCGGCAGCCAGCAGGGGATCGTCCCGGCGGAGCTCCCCGTCCCGGGAGCGGATGCAGCTGGAATATGAATGGCAGATAAGACGAGAAGAGCTCGAGTTAAGGAAGCAAGAACTGAAGCAGGAGCAGGAAGAGAAGGAGAAACAACGTCAGCATGAGGAGAACGAATGTCAGCATGAGCGGGAAGAGAAGGAGAACCAGCGTCAGCATGAGCTGGAACTGGCCAGGCTGAGGAGCAGTGGGGCCCCGGCTGCGGTGAGCGAGGGGGGACCCAAGACTGCAAAGAGCTTTGATAAGTGCTTCCTGGCCCAGCGTAAGGAGGGGGAGGACATGGATACCTTCCTGACGGCCTTTGAGAATACCTGCAAGCTGCACCAGGTTGACCCTGCAGACAGGCTCCAGTTTCTCATCCCCTCACTGGACTCCACAGCCAGGGAGGTGTACAGCCGACTGAAAGGGGCGGAGACAGGGGACTACGAACTGTTCAAAAAGGCCCTGCTCCGCGAGGTTGGGCTGACCCCTGAGATGTACCGGAAAAGGTTCCGGAGTCAGCGTAAAACCCGTGAGGTCACATACCTATAACTAGCCAACCGGACGCAGGGGTATGCCCGCAAGTGGACAGCGGAGGCCCAAACTAAAGAAGACCTGCTTGACCTATTCGTACTGGAGCACATGTATGAGCAGTGCCCATCCGACCTGAGGCGATGGTTGATGGACCAAAAGCCAGAGAACCCGCAGCACGCAGGCCAGCTGGCCGACAAGTTTGTGAACAGTCGGGCAGGGGATAACAGGCCCGCCACAACGCAGAGAGAGAGAGTCACCATGGGACCTCCCAGCGAGGAAATATGGAGAACCCCCACCAAAGGGGAACATCCAGCGTCAGGTCCATCCGACCCACTCGAGGAGACCCACGGGACATGGGCTGCTATCACTGTGGCCAAAGAGGCCACATACTGGCCCAGTGCCTCAGGCTCAGGGACATACTGAGCGGACCCAACCCACAGAGGGTTGACTGGGTAGAGACCCAGCCGGCGAGAGAGAGCAGGTGCCCATCCCTGTCCCAGCTGCTGAGTTCCAGGCCGAGTTGCAGAAAGAGTCCTCCTTGCGGAAGATAAGAGACCTGACCGACCTCAGTGCAGTACAGACCATGGGGAGAGGTGGCCGGAAAAGGTTCCTGTGGGAGAAGGGGTTCCTGTACCGAGAATGGGCTCCCGCAGGGAAAATGGAGTCGGGGGGATCAGGAGGCAGCTGGTGGTACCCCGGAAGTGTAGCCGCCAGCTGCTGTGCCGGGCCCATGACATTCCCCTCTCAGGGCACCAGGGAACCTGGCGTACCCAGCAGAGGCTGCTACAAAACTTTTACTGGCCTGGGGTCTTTATTACGGTCCGACAGTACTGCCGATCCTGTGACCCCTGTCAGAGGGGGAGGAAGGCATGGGACAAGGAGAAAATGGCTTTAGGACCCTTGCCCATCATAGAGGAGCCTTTCCAGGGGGTGGCCAGGGTCAAAAGGGTGGCTCTGAACCAAGAGAGCCCGAATCACAGACCTCCAGACTGGAACGCTGGGAGAAGACCCCAGCCCAGTTGGAACCCCAGGGGTATTGGGGTGGGAAAAGGGCACGGGCCGCATAAACCTTCCCCCATGTGAACTACGAGTGCCATCGAGCACACCCGACCTAAGGGGGGGCGTGAAACTGGAAGGGCCTGGTGTAATTCTCACCAAGGAATGGGAGGGATGTTGGAGCATCCACGGGAACGTGGGTAGGTTCGAACTTTCCCAGGTCACTGGCTGAAGTTACCCCGCTCGGTTCAGTCTCGAAGGGGGGAGAGATGTGACGAACTGGGACTGTTCTTAATGTGGTCTTTGAATGCTGAGTGGGGAGTGTTGGCTGGGAAGGCAGGGGAGTGTGGCTAGGATGGTCTGCATGGGGGGATGGGAGACTGGCTGTGAGGGAGAATACCTGAGCATGTAACATGAGAACCCAGGAAGGGGTTAGAGGCCAGGTGACACCTTTGCCCGGGAAACTAAACAAAGGCTGGGGAGGGAGTTTCAGGAACTGGATGGTGGAATGGCTGGCAGGCAGATGGGGCTCTGACCCCCCCCCAGGGGGCTGTGGTGCCCTGGGACCCCAAGATGCACCTAATTGTGGGGGGTCCTGTTGTCTGTGCCTGCAAGACCTGTCTTGGACTATATTTCTGTCTTCTAAATAAACCTTCTGCTTTACTGGCTGGCTGAGAGCCATGGTGAATCGCAGGAAGCCGGGGGTGCAGGGCCTTGTGTCCCCCCCCACTCCGTGACAGGGTGGTTCATTAAGGATAACCCTATCTCTGTGCTTGGGCCCCATCTGAGAGCCCGGCCAAGAGCCCCAGGGGCTGTGGCCCATCCTCCCATGCCTGCGGGAGTGCGTGCTGATGGGGAGGGGTCTAACAGCTGAGTGTTCTCCGGGGTAGCGGGCAGCTCTCAGCGACGGGGAGGTACATCCCTAATGACAATCAGCAGCATCGGGGCCATGAAGTTGCTTAGACGCCTTGAGCCCAGGTTCAGCGTCAGATTTCCCCTTAGGGAATGGTTTAGACAACGGGGTTATGTGGGCTCCCGCCCGGCTGCAAGTCAACAAGGGGCAGGGCAGCCCATCTTTGGGGCCTGCTGCCTTCCGAGTACACCAGGGAAACATCATAAGCCCTGAAGCCTGGAGTGGAAGTGTCCAAAGGCTGCTGCTGAGCCGGGGTTGCGGGGATGGAACCCAGGCGTCCGATCCTCGGAGAGGAACTGGGCTCTGGACAGCAGAGGGGGAGTAGGAGGGTGCAAGGGGGGCATCGCTGTGGCACTGGGCGGCAGAGCGAAGGAGACTTGCGGGGCACCGCCGGGGAGAGCGAAGGGCGAGGCGTCCAAGGGAGGGAGGGCCAGAGCTGGCCTCCAAGAAGCTGGAGGCAGAGTGCCCCCGGGAGCCAGCCCTGCAGCGAAAGAACAAAGGATCAGCCAGGCCCATGTCATTTGGTTCTTCCCCTTCTAACTGGGGTTGGGTGAATCCCCAGCGAGCCTGGAGCTGGGGGCATCCCTGGAGGAGAGGCCTTCAGAGCTGGGTGCACATGGCAGTGATAGGTGGGGGCTGTCCTGGGTTCCCCTCCCCCAGGTGCCCTGCCTGTCTCCTCCCCACCCCTGAGGTCTCCTTTCTGCCTGAGATGGAGTCTCCAGGGGAGGGAAAGAGGGGGACTTCACTCCTTCTCCCCTGTCACTGGAGCCTTGTGGGGTGCTCTCCCTCTGGGTTACTCATCTGTGCCCTCTCTGAGCTATCCACCCCCTCCCATGGAGCAGTGGAGGACAGACGTCCCTGGCCCTATTACCCCACGGGCTGAGCCGGGGACGCTGAGGAAACCACGCGGTGCAGGAGCCAGGCCTGGAGTCGTCCAGCCCCACTTACCACAGCAAGGCTCTTCCCAGGCGCCGGGCGGAGAGGCGCTCAGATGCAGTGGCTGGGAGGTCCCCGGGTAGACAGTGAAGCTGGGGGTGTCCGGGGAGGCAGCCAGGTGCTGTGAGGGGAGCAGAAAGGAGAGAGACGTCACCCACTGGGAAGGCCACCCAGAGAACATCGCTGGGCAGCGGCCACCAGCACCCCGCTAGGAGCAAGGCCACGCTTGATGGGACGCTCCAAACTCAGGGACCCAGCCTGCTCTGGGCCAGCTCCTCTCTCACAGGAATCCAGCTGCTTTGCTCCTTCAGGACTCGTCTACGTGGGAGCACTCCGGAGAGTTAAAATGCATTAACTAACGCTGTGATGTTCAAGTGCATTAAACCCCCGTGTGGACGCGCCCATTCAGAACTCATGGGGGTCTTAGTTTGCTATACTCTAATCCACCGTCCTGACGGGGTGGATCCAGCCGGGATCATCCCCAGGGAGAAGGGCCAGAGCCCCGTTGCTGGCTGACGGGGTGGGTCTGGCGGGCAGAGGGGAAGCCTGGGGATTACACTGGAAACGGGAAAAACCCTGGGTCTAGGGTTAGCCTCCCAGGCAGAGCTGGCCCAGGGGGAGATCTGGGCACACTGCCTACCTGTGTGGAGATGGTGTCGGTCATTGAGGATGGATGAAAAGCAGCAAAGGCCTGGGGAGCTGGTGCAAAGGGGGACAGAATCCAGTCACACCACGACCCTGGGCAAGGCAAGGAAGAGAATATCGTATGGACGCTTCGCTAGCGACGGCCGCCACGCGCTTTAGAAACATTCACGAGCCTCACAGCCACCCGTCCACTGAGGAAAGTCATCACCTCCATTTCATAACCGGGGCGCAGAGAAGTGAAGTGACTTGCCCAAGATCACACAGCACGTCAGCCACAGAACCCAGGAGTCCTGACTCCCAGTTCCTTGTTTCAGCCACTAGCTCACACTCCTTCCCGGAGCTGGGAATAGAACCAGGCGTCCTGACTCCTGGATCCCTTCTCCAACTTCCTTATTAAAAATGATCTTGGCGTCTCTCTACCAACTTCCGGGGCAAGAATCTCATAGAGCGCCACAGAACAATCTTCATAGGTATGAATCCTACAAACGGCTGGAAGGGACCTTAAGGAATCAAGTCCACCCCTTTCCCCCTACTTCGCTGAGGCAGGCCCAAATAAATGTAACTCATCCCTGACAGGTGTTTGGCTGATCTGTTCTTAAAACAGGGCTTGCACGGCCTCCCTCGGTGAGATATTCCTGTGCTTCACTAGCCTTAGAGTACTTAGAGTCTTCTCCAATGTCTAACACAGAGCTTGGGCGTCCCTGGAGAGCTGGTATTGGCACTGCAGGGGCGCTTGTGAAGGTGGCAGCTGTACTGAACCCAGCCCATGCGGCTGCCCAAGAATTTGAAGGGGAGAAGGTTTTCCTAGAGATTGAAAATGAAATGACAATGTGTTGGCTGAACCAGTCCCGGATGCCAGCGGCAGTGAAGGGTTGAATTGCATGGGCAGAGCGAGATGGGATGGACAGACGATATAAATGACATTGCTGCCCATCGGAGACTGCCTGGGGGTGTCTGGGAAGCTGTCCACAGGCTGGGGAGAGAGGAGGTGCACGGAGGGGACAGGACTATCAAAGCTCCCTTGGGAGCATCACGACGCAGCAATGCACGGAGATTGTCACCTGCACGGTCAGTCTCCAGCTTCAGCTTTGCCTCTCGTCTCCATTTGGCTCTTCGGTTTGAAAACCAAACCTAGCACAGGAGAAGGGAGACGGTCAGTGACCTGCCCCAATCCCCCAATGATCCGCTGCACCCTTCCAGGCTGGGTGCACCCAAACACTCATGAAAAGCTGGACGACGTGGCCCCTAAAGGCTCCAAACCCAGAAGGCAACGAAAAAGGAAACTCATAGACTCACAGACATTAAGGCCAGAAGAGACCATCATGATCATCTAGTCTGACCTCCTGCACATCGCAGGCCACAGAATCTCACCCACCCACTGCTGTGACAGACCCCTACGCTCTGGCTGAGTTACTGCAGTCCTCAAACCATGGGTTAAAGATGTCAAGTTACAGAGAATCTCCCATTTACATCCGCAAATGACCCGTGCCCCACGCTGCAGAGGAAGGCGAAAATCCCCCAGGCTCTCTGCCAATCTGAGCTGGGAGGAAATTCCTTCCCAACCCCAAATCTGGCGATCAGTTGGACCCTGAGCGTGTGGGCAAGACCCAGCAGCCAGACACCTGGGAAAGAATTCTCTGAAGTGATTTTTGGAACATTTGGGGCTGGAGATAGGGCATCCGCATGACGACAGCCCTAAATCCTCACACCCCGCCCCACAGCTTTGCTCTGCTCGGTCTCTAATGCATTAATGGCCACGAACCTGGGTGCCAGGGCAAAACTCTGGCAATTTGGAATGTCTTTCCTAAGCCGGGGCTGGCTGCTCGCCTGCCAAAATGGGGCATAGACGAGACACGTCTCACTGCGTGTGAAAGAGAGAACGGGGGGGCTGGCGTCTCTGTCTTGCCACTGGTGGGGCCTTTTACCGCTGTGCAAAGATGTGCTAAACAAACCCAGATCAGAAACACTTTGCCTCCACTTTGCATAGTGGTAAAAGATTATTGCAGGCACAAGGCCCAGGAGACTTTGCCCCAGCTTGTGTGTGTGTGTGTGTGTGTTTCCCAGGGGTTTGTGAGTGTGTCACGTGACAGCCTGGGCAGTGTGTAGTGGCAATGCTGTCTTAGCAGGCTGGTGTAATACAATGATGGTGTCATTTGTCTGAGCTATTCCAAACAAAGCCAATGCTTTGTAGCTTGGTGAGCGAGCAGCAGTACGCCCCAGCGCCTGGTCCTAAGAGAGGTCATCTTTCTCACTATTCCCAATGACACCGTGATTTATAGCTGGCGTTACGAAGTGCATCCAGAAGACATATGAGAATGTGTGTGCGTGTGAGATTTATGTTTCCAGGGTGTGCTCTACCCGGCTGTGCCTGCTGGTGTGTGTGAGTGAGTGTGCGTGTGTGTGTGTGTGTGACTGTTGTCTCATGATCTGACACCCCCATGGCACGGCCAATATGTGTCTGCAGAGCCACAGTCCATGTGCCAGCAAAGAGCAACCAGCCCTAGCCTGGGACCCGTTGGTTCAGCAAAGGAGATGCCAAAAATACCCAGAGTTTCACTCAGAAATTAGCTGCTGTCACCTACATTCTCCTCTGGGTGGCGCCCTTGCACCGGTCTCGACACACCAGCGTGGGACTGACTGCAAGTTACACAAAGATGGCAATGAAATCCGAGCTCCCTGGGAGTCTGCCTCCCACCTGGTAGCTGGCCAAGGTGCTGGGGAGACGCACAGAGCCTTCCCCTGGGTCCCGGCACGGCTGTGCCGCTCTCTCTCCCACACACTTGGTCACACTCACAGCCACTAATGCACCCCTCACTCGCACACGCTGAGACACGTCCGCTCACACGCAGCTGCACTCTCGCCGCACGCTCATCTGCTCACTGACGGTCACTAACCCTGAGAGAGCTGCAGGAATTGCAGAGGGTTTGGTTCGCTGGCGAGTTCGAAAGGTCGGAAAAAATATCATTTGGGGTCGGACTGAAAATAACAAAATTCCAAATACTCGGCAAATAGAAAAGTTGTGAACAAGAGGCTGTGTTTCGATTTTGGCCATTTGCAATGTTTCTGAAATTTAAAAAAAGAATAAAGGAAATTTCGAGACGACAAGTCATTGCCAACCAACCAATCCAAATGTTTTTGTTTCAAAATTGTCAAAATGAAACATTTTCATTGGGGGGAGGGGATGTTTTTACGTTTTTGGAATGAACTATTTGGTGAACCCGACATGAATCTGTGAAAAGTTTTGATGTCGCCAAATCTGCATCTTTTACTGAAAAAAAGTCTCAGCCCAAAAGTGTTGCCCAGGTCTGCTCACTATCAGACACTACTCTGCACATACACGTGCTCTCGCACTCGCACAGGTGTGCAAACACAGCTGGCACCAGCCTGGGTGTGCATGCGCAGATCCAGCTGGGGGGGGGGTGGTCAGGGGCGTTTCCCACTTACCCTGATGGTGGTGTCGGGGAGCTGGGTGGCTGAGGCCAGTTTCTCCCGGGTAGCGGAGTCGGGGTACTGCCCTCTCTGGAATTCTGCAAGGGAGTTTGGAGCAAAGTCATCCTGCCTTGGCGCACAGCTACCACCCCAGAGATGCACAGCTAGGTCAACACCTCCCCCACAACACAGGGCCACACCCTGCCATCAATGCTTGCTCCCCACTGATCTCAACAGGGACTCTATTTCGGATTATGAGAATGGCCCGGCTGATTCAGAGCCGGGGTCCCACCGTAACTAGCGCCAGCTGCTCCAGAGGACGATTGAAAGGACAATGATGGCATAACCTGCCCCTGGGGGACGTGCCTGCCTGGCCCTGTCCCTCAGCGCTTGGGTCATGCTCTGAAGCTGGAAAGCCAACGGCGTGTCGTGTCCCTGGCCTGAGTGTACATGGGGGGGGGGGGGGGGGAGAACCAGATCGCGGCTTCACCCCCAGCCCTCAAGCCACTCACCTTTCTCCAAGGCCACGGACTGCTGGCTTGAGAAGATCGTCCTGTTCCGGTGCTGGACGCCCGGCGGGGGTCCCCTGGCCGACGCTGAGCTCCTCCCAGGGTGCCACCGGGACGCGGGCGCCTCTGCTGAGCCCTTGCTGCCGGCTGCTCCTGGCCAGGGGAGGGGGAGTGAAGCGCGCTGGGGGGAGTGGCGCTTTCCTTTCGGGTGGCCACTCACCGGTCTGCAGGGGTGCGGGGGGGGGGGTCTCCGGGGGGGCGGCCAGCAATGGGGCGGGGAGCTAGACGCAGAGTCCCGAGCTGTTCACTAATATAACCGCATGCACGATGCACAATATGGTGCTAATAATAATAAATGTCTCCGTGGGAGCGTTCTGGAGGGGACGACAATGGGGCCCCTTGGAGTTGCCCCCTTCTTCCCCCCGCTTTGATCTCCACCCACCAAGGACTGGCCGCGGTATCCCCCAGGACACTGACCAGCCAGCCAAAGGGGGCGCTGGCGAGTGACTGAAGAGTCTCCCTACCCCTTGGGGATGGTGTGTGCTGTGCTTGCTAGTCCGGGGGGGGGAGGTCTCAGACCCCCAAGAGGCTGACCCAGAGCAGCTGATACTGGCCCAGGCCACCTGCGCCTGCTCTCCGGGGTTTCCCTTGGCAGGAGGGAAGGAATTTGTGGGGTTAGGGTTAAAATATGGGTCTGCCAGGACCTCCTTCCTTAGAGGTTTTTAAGGCCCGGCTTGACAAAGCCCTGGCTGGGGTGATTTAGTTGGGGATTGGTCCTGCTTTGAGCAGGGGGTTGGACTAGATACCTCCTGAGGTCCCTTCCAACCCTGATATTCTATGATTCTAAGTGGGTTGTTCTGATGCGTTTCCCAGAGTGGAGGGAGCGGCTACCTACCAGCTTTGTGTTAGCAGGGCCTTGGAGGGGGCTCTGGTTGTACAGACGCTATCGCTGGGGGACAGGTCAGCGTCCCGCTGCATAGAGGCCACGGGAGGACATGTCTGCGGGGGTGGCAATCTGTGTGTGGTTGGGTGGGGGGTGTGACGAACTGGGACTGTTCTTAACGTGGTCTGTGAATGCTGAGAAGGGAGTGTGGCTAAGATGGTCTGCATTGGGGGATGGGAGACTGGCCGAGGGAAGATACCTGAGCATGTAACATGAGAACCCAGGAAGGGGTTAGAGGCCAGGTGACACCTTTGCCTGGGAAAGGAACAAAGGGGAGAGAGTTTCAGAGCTGGCTGGTGGAAGGGCTGGGAGGGAGACAGGACTCTGACCTCCCAAGGGGGCTAGGGTGCCCTGGGACCCCAAGATGTACCTAATTGAGGGGGGTCCTGTTGTCTGTGCCTGCAAGACCTATCTTGGACTGTGTTCCTGTTGTCTAAATAAACCTTCTGCTTTACTGGCTGGCTGAGAGTCATGGTGAATCGCAGGAAGGGGGGGGCAGGGCCTGGCGTCCCCCCACACTCCCTGACAGGGGGTACCCGTGAGTGTCTCTCCACGGAGCGTGTTCCTGTTACATGCTGGCTGCAGTTGCCCCCAGGGTCTTTGCACCTAGGGTCTTTCCACGGCGTGTCTCACCTGGTGGTGACGGCTCCATCATGAAACCAAAGTCAGCTGTGAGCCGCATGTCCCCTTGCAGGTTCCTCAGCACCCGGTTGATGGAGGACACCTGGGCAAAGAAGACGCAGGGAGTCGCTTGGGGACAGAGTCAGTGACCCAGTCAGACCCTGGAGCTAAGAGGCTCTCGCCCACTGAATGGGCAGAGCAGGGGGAGTGAAGTCAACAGGAGTCTCTCTGTTGACTTCATTTGGCCCAGGGCGTGTAGACGGAGACGTGGGGCAGCTGGGGTCCAGATGCGGGCAGGCCTGGAGTTGTGGAAGTCTCGGAGCCAAACTTCCAGAAGGACCGGTGCTCCTGAGTTTCCCTGACTGCGCTTGGGTTCGTGCTGTGGGATCGCCACCCCAAGGGACGGTGCCCATCTGCGCCCAAGGAGCTGGAAAGCTGGAAAGCCCTTTAATGTCAATGGAATAATAATATCTGCAGCGAGAGAATCTGCAAACCAGAGGCGGAAACTGGAGAGACTCTGTGATTACAAAATCTAACCCTGTGCTGTGACTCTGGAGGTGACATTTTATTCTCTCTCTCTTTCTGTCTGGGGCCCTTCTGATAGATTGGTCGCTGCGGTCTGCTCCGGGGGATAGCACCGGCTGCCACCGAGGGAAAGCTAGTGAGCCTCTGTCTCTGGGAACACGCAGGTGAGGGGCGTTCTGACTTCCCCTGGGAATTTGCTCCATTGTGGGGGAGCCTCCCAGAAAACAGCCTGGCTTTCACCGGGGGCGCCCATTGAGCGCAGTGCTCTCACTGCCCTCGGGAACTGCCAGGCTCTGTCTTCGCACTGTCGATTCCATTGACCTGACGGGCAGGCGGGTGGTTCCACTTGGGTCTCCAACAGAACCAGCCCCACGGTCTGTCGGGTGCAGTGACAGCACCCCTGGCATGAGCGCTAACCCCCCGCTGCTCTCAGGGCAGCTCCCCACCATTCCCCCCGCTGTCCGCTTCTCCCCCCGCTTCCTTCCCCTCTGCATGGGAGGCCCTCGCTGCACCATCTGGCAAGCCATGTCCCATCTCCTCCTGACCCCTCCTCCAGCCACTTTGCCCGTGGAGCCTGTGAGACAGTGCCGATGGATGGCGAGTCTGGAGGGGGCAGTCCGGGTAGTGAGCACCCCCTCCCCATACCCTTGGCTTGCCCTAAACAGTAGCAAGAGTAAAGCCGCTCCCAGCTGACTGTGCGTGGGCTGTGCATCGCCTGGGATGGAAGCAGAGGGCCAGAGCCCTGCAGTCCCAGCCCTCGGCGCCAGCCCAGGCCCGGGCTCTGTGACTTCTCCGGCCGGTGGCTTACGCTGGGCGTCCGGTCGCTGGCGCAGATGCCTTCGGAGCGCAGCTTCCTCCTGATCTCCCACGCGAAGATGGACGGGTGCGCCAGCTTCAGCTGCGCGATTCGGGCCACCACCTCTGGGGTGGCCATGCGGGGCTTGCTGCCGCCGATGGCCTTCGGCTCCACGGCGCCTGTCTGGTAGTAGCGGCCCAGGATCTTGCTCACGCAGCCATTGGAAACCTGCGGTACAGAGAGAGAGAGACACTGAGGCAGGGGCGCCGGGTGGGGACTCGGGGGCCTAAGGAGATGGGAGAAATAGGGGATCAAGCCCCGTAAATCAGCACCCTCCCTGCCAGCCTCCCTTGGCCCTCTGCTGCCCAGGCTCCCCCCGGCCCTTCCCTGGGTGGCTTTTGCCCCTCGGCCTCTGCTTGTCTCCTCTCTGCTGCCCCAGGTCCTTCCCTTGTGTTTTGCTGCTATCTGTATATTTGCTGGGACATGGGCGGGGCGTGAAGTCCCCATTCCAGGAGGCTAGCCTCTGCCCCGCCCCTTCTGCCTGAGGCCCCGCCTCTGCCCCGCCCCTTCTGCCTGAGGCCCCGCCCCTTCTGTATGAAGCCCCGCCCCTTCTCCCCCCCGCCAGAGCCAGAGGAGCCCTGAGCCCCCAACCATGGCATGAGGACCCCTGGCCAGCCCAGCTGAACTGCCTGCCCCAAGCCCCCGGCCCGCCGGCCAGCGCAAGCCCCTGCCGGCGTGGAGGGAGAGGCAGAGCGGGGGCTGGAAGAGGAGCAGCGGGGTGGGGGGGAGGGAAGAGCGGGACGTGGGAGTGGGGCCTCGGGGCCGAGCATGGGCCTGGCTGTTGGGGAGGCTCAGCCTCCCCTGGCCTATGACACCCTCCGCCCATGTGCTGGGATCAGGAATAAACTCCCCTCCTCCCCCCCCCCCGGTCCGATTCCCACCTTCAGGCTCCGGGAGATGTCACAGGCGCGCACCCCACTCGCCGCCAGCTGGACGATCCTCTTCCTCTTGCCCGGGGGCAGGGGGCGGCCATTCACGAAGAGCCCCCCCAGCTGGTTCACGCCGCCAGCCCCTGGGGAAGAGCCCGGGCAGACGGGGTGACGTGGGGTCCCCGCAAGCAGAGAGGTGACCCCCCCACCCGCAGGCGGCCTAGCAGGAGACAAGGGGGCTCGTGTGCGGGGCAGGGCTGGGGAAGGGGAGCGGAGGGGGCAGGGGGACGTCAGCCGGACTATTTCAGGAGCATGTTGTCTCCGGTCCCTCGAGAGGAGGTTTCTGGGGGGCGGATGCCGGGCCCGGTAAATCCGGCTAGAAATAAGGCGCGAAGTGTTAACGAGGAGGGAACTGAACCCCTGGAACAGTGGGACGAGGGACACGGCGGCTTCTCTGTCACTCGGCGTCCTCCAATCCAGCCTGGATGCGGCTTTCTAACCGGCGGGCAGATGTCTGGGGCCTGCCGGGACCCCCCGAAAGGGTTGGCCTTGCCCTGTGCTGTGGGAAGCAGCAGCATGACGTAGGTGGAGGGTGGCATTGGGGTGACCCTAACCATGCGCTCCGCCACCCCGGGATACACCCTGTGCGCACCGGGGGGAGCCGGGGGGGCGCACCCCCCTCAGGCTGCTCTGAGGTCTGCTGGGGGCCGTTTCGGACCCGGCTCTATTCGCAGTCCAAGGAGTCTCCTTCGCCCCCAGCTCGGGGCCCGGCTCAGAGAAGCGGCGGCAGAGCTGGGAGCAGAAGCCGCATCTCCTGCGCTCTAGGGACCAGCCCGCCCTCTCTAGCCAAAGCGAGTCGACCGGATCCCCCCAGCCTCGCCTCTTTCCCCCGCTTTGCACCGAGCCACATCCGCCGTAACGCCCGCCCGGCGGCTCGCTGCAGCCCGGGCGGGCTGGAAGCTGGAGCAGCACTCGGAGGGGACGCAGTTCTCACCTTGGTGCGGCATGTGGCTGCTTCCCAGTGCCTGGGCCGGGGCGTCCTCCAGAGGCTTGTTCAGCTCAGGGAGCGATGGGGAGGCAATTCCAGACGCCCCCTCCCCCGCTGCAAGAGGGTCAGAGACATACAATGACAGAGTCAAATTTTCAAAAGCTCCCAAGTGACTTAGGAGCCTCAGTCTCGTGGAAAGTCAATGGGGCTTTAGGCTTCCAGGTGCCTAAGTCACTTCTGGAAATAGGACTTAGGCCTCTAAGTCACTTGGAAATGTCGCCCCTCCCCCTTGCCAGGTGGTGACCCCAGCCCTCCCCCGCCAGCTCTCCAGCACGGGATGTTCTCGTTCTGCGGAGACCCCACCACTCCGGAACAGAATTCGGACCTGCCTATTGGTGTCCGTTCATTCGTACTGCCGGAGCCCCTCCAGCCCCACTGTGCTCGGCGCTGCGCACACAGCATTTACTAACCTCCTTTTGGGTTATAGTCAGCGGTTAGGGGCCGGAGACAGGTGTGCGGGCAGCTCCTTGCCATGTCCAGAGTGTGAGAGGAGCCCCCTCGGGGTGAGACAATACAACTGCTTCTGAATGAATCCGATCCCTTGGAAACTACATGGCTCTGTTAGGGTTTTATACGGCTGCCCATCCCCGTGGTGTCTGCTCCCATGGGTTACTGTAGGCTCTGGATACCATAGGAGGCCGCAAATGGGAAGCTGGGAAGGCAGCAGAAAGGAACCACAACAGATAGGAGCAGGCGGAGAGGGGCCTGCGAGGGGGGGACCAGTCCAGATACTATGGGTCAGCTCTGTGAATTTGATGATAATCATGGAAAATTTGGCTTAGACGGGGTGGGAGATCTCATAGGTTGTCCGGTTCTCTCCTGCCGCAGCATGTCAGGATGATGGTTCCATGATCCCTGGTCCTGGACCACACTTGAGCCATGAGTATCTAGCCTATCTGTGACTTTCTCTCCTCAGCCTCCCTCGGGGTCTTGCTCCGCTTCCCAAGCTGCTGGGAGGGGGTTCAAGCTCCTCTCCCCGGGAGTTTCCCTGCTGCGGTCTAAGAGGAAAATGGAACCGACGTCACTCGCACCCCCGTACCCCAGTCCAGGGATTTGACCCTACAAACTTGGAACCGACTCCCAGTGTAAAACGTGCGGAGTGGCTTGTCTCCTGCTGTTGACAGAGGCGGGAGGTCAGGCCGTGTCCTTGGATGTCTCTGCTCTAGGGGGTTTGGGGGGGCGGTTGATTTTCGGGTGGTTTCTATGACGAGGCTTGGTGCTGAGTCACCCGGACCCGGGAAGTTCCTGGCGCATGTTAGAGATTTGGACTCCTGGGGTGTCCTATGGGCAGTGTCAACCTGTCCCGCCAGCCCCAGCCTTAGCAACTGGTGCAACTGATTGACCCCTCTCCCATCTAACACCCCTTCTTCTATCGGCAGAGCTTTCTCCTGTCTCTGCCAGGCTCCCTTTGCTCCCGGTGGGACCTGCCCAGGTGCCAACTTTTCCCTACGGGACTTGTTTTCCAAACCTGTTCGCCATCTCTGGGCCCTCCTCCCCATTTTCTCCAATGCCCCATCTGTTCCTTTTAAACCCAGGGGCAGCCCCGATCCCACCGAGCCTGCGGGCACCTGAGTCACGCCCATGACTTCAGCACAGTGACTCCAGGGTTACAGCACTACACATGAGATCAGCCTTTGGCCGGGAGAGCCCAGCTCCGAATGCGCAAGGGCTGATTGTCCCCCCGGCCCCCACGCCCATAGGGGGAACTGCATTGGAGCCAGTGGGGCGGCTCCGGATTGATCGCAGCGCAAGGAAGAGCAGGGCCAGGCTACTCTGTCTTTTGTGTGGCAGCTTTCGGGGGCTGACTCATAGTCCATTTATCACACACACACCCCGGATCCGGAGGGGGCTCACTGACCCCAGGGCCCAGCGCTGCCTTCTTCCCCACTGTGTCTTACACTTCGAAAGTGCAAAATCGGTTCTTCTCGGTGCTGCTTGTTCCAAGAGAAAACTCCTCCTGCCCCCTGGCCTGTGCCACACACCCCGCACCTGTCCCCTGCCCTGTGCCACACACCCCGCACCTGCCCCCTGGCCTGTGCCACACACCCCGCACCTGCCCCCTGCCCTGTGGCACACACCCCGCACCTGTCCCCTGGCCTGTGCCACACACCCCGCACC